GGTACAAATGGATATTATTCACCGAAATCCCACAGAGGACTACGAATTAATTTTACGCGTCGGCAGTGGCACTTACGGCGATGTCTATAAAGTATGGCCAATTTATAGTTTTCTCGTTATTTATATTTTTTAATAGTTATAAATTATAATAACCCTAGAATGTCTTTCGGTAAGTCGATTATAATAACAGCGCATATAATAAACAGATCTAAAGATTTGGCGATATTGAGATTTTCGACTGATTTCGGTCAGTGTGGAACGTTAGTACCTGTTTATGTGCAAAACTATTATAATTAAATAATTTGTGCATTATTAGTGGTTATCCCGTTGTTATCCCTGTTATGACTTTCCTTTGGTCATTTTCATCCCACGTGCACTGTTTTCAAAAACAGAATAATTAACTAATAGACAGATATCCTTTACTTTTCTGAATTAGTAAAACATTTCATATTAGGCTGCCTCTCTTTGTATACAAAGCAACCTCGGTATTATGGGTTTTGTCGCAGAATCCTGGTTTTTGACACTTGTCAAAAAGTTTAACAGCCATGTGTCATTTTACATCATTCATAACAACCATGCGTCACCTGATTTCCAGAGTGTAGTTGCAGTTCCGTTGAACCGTGTCCTGCTTAAAAAGTAAAAAGTTCCCTGAAGGCAAGGGGATGGTGCGATTACACGATGTAAATCTGGAAAAGTGACGACCGATTAATTTTTTTTCGATATGAAGGATTTTCACGAATCATCTCGCATCTTCTTAAGCTACATTCACTGCGTGTGATTTTTAATTTCTTCGTATAAACAGCTAGCATAGATTTTGATGCTGTCAGAGGCAGCTTTGACCTAACCGGTTTCATATGACGTTTTCTGCATAGAGCTAGGATTGCATGTTCTGAAATATCCAACTGTCAGTATTTGGCATAAGAAGTCTTCAAGACAGTGTACCCATATGATTGAGATTGTCCAATCCAGACCGTCAGCTTAAACTAAAATATTCTGCCTGTGTTTCTTCTGTGGGTCTCTGTCCATGTTATCGTAAGACCTTCTGTCGTGAAGACTTCTTGCTGGATAGATTCATTTGCGTTTCTCTCCCATCTTGTTCTCCTTTATGAACAATAGCATTCTTGATTAACATTCAGAACTTGATGTAATTTAATGAGATTCTTTCTAGGCGCGCTGTATTAGCACTGGAGAACTGGCCGCCATAAAAATGGTCAAGCTTGAAGCGGGTAAAATTTTGATATTTCCCACAATATCCTCATGTCAATAACCATACTCGATTTCAGGTGACGACTTCGCGGCAATTCATCAAGAAATCATCATGATGCGGGAGTGCAAAAACCCAAACATCGTTAACTACTTCAACAGCTATTTGCAGTAAGTAGCGGTTCTATATTTGGGCAGCAAATTCCTCTGTTTTCTTGATTCATTACGTACATAAAAATGGATAAATGAGAAGATTATTGGCATGGAATCTATTAAAGCCCAAAATTTTTCATATTTTGTTAGCACGATTTCTAACAAATTAGTTTTCGAATTTACTGCAGATTGGGCAGTAGTTTGTGATCTCAGATTTGCCGAAAGGTTCATAAATCGGAAAAAAACAAAACAGTTCACTGTTCAGCGCAATGCTGTGACAAAATTTATGTATAAAAAATCGTAGCACTAAACAACCAAGTGCAGCAACGTCTGGCAGTTTTGAGAAGTGGAAAGACGAAGCATTGCTGCATCGTTTCGCTAACATTCTGACTGAAACGATCATTTGAACTAAGACATTTCACTTGTGATGACACGGAGTTGTCAACTATTGTCTTTACTGCGCATATAATCGTTTTGCATGTTGCATGATCAAGTAAATGAACAGTTTAGTTCAATTTCATTGCTGCAGCTCGATTGTCACTGTCCAACTTGTCCACAGTTATTAATGAAACAATTGGTTCTATCACTGAAATGTTACATAACTGTTTCTCGTAGGATCGTATAGTTTCGTTTATATATTTTACCCAGACGATGACATGGCGTGCTGTGGCGTAACGCTTTTGTCAACGAAGTATTTTAAGTCTTTATAACATGTCTTGAACCACGAATCAGCAGATTAGGTGAATAACTGAATCGTAAGACTTTCCTATATTCTAATACTAACGAAAAGTTCAGTTTGAAGACAGAACGAAGTTTGCCAACTACAAACTATAAGAATACTGTCAAGAATAACTAGTATTTGTTTTTCGCTTGGGTTACTCGTATTATTGCATCATCTTGCACTCGTTTTTGCATCAGACCTAGCAGACGGTTGTAACAGAACGCAGTTTTATGATATTGTAGTTCCAGCAATGTATAGAAGTACAACGGCATCGCTTTTCGGGAACGAAATAATTGCAGCTTTATATATTTTTATTCTATAAATGCTAACATATCATGGAGTCGTACCCTGATAGAAAGTTTCCTTGGTCTTTCAACATCAGAAGATGTCAGAATGCGCTTGTTTAGAGATTTTTGTTGTTCGACTTTAGTTCTTGTAGTATAATATATTTCCTTTATTTTAGAAGGGATAAGCTTTGGATAGTTATGGAGTACTGTGGCGGAGGTTCGCTTCAGGATATGTACCATAGTAAGAAGACTGATATGTTATTACCTGATATTATTGTTATTACTTCACTCGTTTAGTGACTGGGCCGTTGAGCGAACTGCAAATCGCGTTCGTCTGCCGCGAAACCTTGAAGGGTTTACAGTACCTCCACAGTATAGGAAAGATACACCGGGACATTAAGGTAAGCTTACATCAAGTTCGCCGATCATTTCTATTAGTTTTTAAGGATTTTCAGTAACTTTTGCGACTTTTCGAACTGCATTAAATAAAGTGCCTTAACTTTTTGTTGAAGCTGAAATTTCAAGTAGATCAAACCTAAATTTAAAAGATGAACTTTACAGCGATGACACTGCATATCCAATTTATTTATTATACACGCATTATCCAACATTTAAAATCACTCTTGATCCGTCTTCAGGGAGAGACATAATCTAAAGCAGACAATTTTACGGCATAAATCGTTATAGTCAGAGAGTAATTGCACTCTATTGAGCCCTATTAATTCTGTGAGTTGATCTTAAGATCCTGTGTCAGTTTACTCCTTTTCTTTCGTTTCGATCGACGGTATCAGCCACAATTGTGTGCTTTAAGCATGGATCAAGAAGGAAATGCAATTAGAGCTCTAGCTTATGTTCAGTGCCAGCGTAGTTTCCAAGCTCGTAGTTCAGTTAAGCGTACAAAATGTAAAAAAATGTGATTGGGGCAAAGCTGAGCTTGAAAACAAAGCTGTCTCTGTTTAAGTCGATTTTCATCTCTATGATCAAGTACGGTAATGAGTTGTGAGTCATGACTGAAAAGCGTTGGTCCTGAATATAAACGATTGTAAAAGCCTTTCTGAGACGAATTGCTGGGCTCTCGCGTTTCGGCATGACCATAAGAACAGATGTCCGAGACGGTCTTGGTGTACAGCCACTGCCATTCCAGATTGAGAAGTCAAAGCTGCGATGGTTTGGGTATGTTTTGCTAATGCTTTTTAAAAGAAAGCGAAG